CGTCAAATCTGGTGCTAAATTTCGTCAAAGCTGGTGCTAAATTTCGTCAAATCTGGTGCTTTTTTTTGTGCTTTCAGCTGTGCTTGTTCTGGTGCTAAATTTTGTAAAATCTGGTGCTTTTTTGTGCTTCCAGTTGTGCTTTTTCTGGTGCTAAATTTCATCAAATCTGGTGCTAAATTTCGCGCGTCCAAAATGAACCTGCGAGCCAAAAGCAGATCGCTCGGAGCACTTGGCCTCAGCAGCGTTTGACTTTGTCGTGGCCGCCTGTGCAGTTTCTGGCGCTTTCCTGGTGCTTTTTCCGGTGCTAAATTTCGTCAAATCTGGTGCTCTTTTTTGTGTTTCCAATTGTGTTTTTTCTGGTACTAAATTTCGTCAAATCTGGTGCCTGTTTTTGTGCTTCCAATTGTGCTTTTTCTGGTGCTAAATGTCGTCAAATCTGGTGGCCCATTTCGTCGGCCAAGCAGCTGTTAGGGTTTAGGGTTTTCAGGGTTTTGTGAAGATTTGGTTTCGTCTTGGCCTCTGTCTAACCTGCAAGCAACAGGAGGTTGGAATCGTGACCTCCACTTCTGTTCCGCGGCCGGTCTTGCTTCTAGTGATTGGTGTGCTAGATTGTCACATGAAAATATTTCACTTATATAGATTTGTCAAATCCAGCAATGAACATGTAGACTGTGGCGGCTGGGGCTGGTGTTGGTCTGGTGCTGGGGCTGGCTGGGGCTGGCTGGGGCTGGGGCTGGGTGCTGGGTTGTTGGCGCTGGTGCTGGTGGTGCTGGTGGTGGTGCTGGTGGCGCTGCTGCTGCTGCTGCTGCTGGTGGCGGCTGCTGGGGCTGGTGGGGGCTGCTGTTTGGTGCTGGGGGTGCTGGTGGTGGTGGTGGTGGTGATGGCTGCTGTGGTGCTGGTGCTGGTGTGGTGCTGGTGCTGGTGGTGGTGGAGAGGGCAAAGGAGGGAAGGAGAACAGAGGAGAGGAGAGGAGGAGAGGAGGAGAGGAGAGGAGAGGAAAGGAGAAGAGAGTGGAGGGGAAGAAGGGGAAGAAAGGGCAGGAGGGGCAGGAGAGGAGTGGAGCTTTGAGCATGAAGGAGGGAGGGGTTAGCATATTCAAAATCCATTTGGAGAGGCCCCAGGTAATGATGAATTATCCAGGATTTCCTGGTGCTAATTTTCGCTGGTTGTCTTAATAAAGAAACCTTTTTGCAGAGTTACAGGGGGGTGGCCGGACTCAATATATATACACAGTATATATATACATAGGCTCTTGGCTCATTTGCCATATCTGCTCTTTAAGCTCTAGGATTTCGGCAAACAACCCATGAATCAAGGCCGAATCTCCTCCAACCTCTGTTCCTCCACCGCTCGTGCGGCTTCTGCGGCAGCCTTTCAGAAAGGCGTCCACTCTTCGTGAATTAGAAAAGAAACACCCAAATCGAACCCTTTCAATTTGCTCATGGCTACTTGTATCTTTATCCTGAGAATTAGCGAAATCAAAACGAAACCAAACAAGGAGAGCCTTGGCGGCTTCTTTGGCCTTGACTTTCTCATTGCCTGCAGGTGAATCCATAGCCCTTGTCAAATGCAAGTGTTCTTTGGGGATGAAGAACTGATTTGCTGGAGACACTATGCAACTATACGGGCCTTTCTTCTTTATCTGATCTTCTTCGCCTGCAATTTGGACGATGTGTTGCGGGAAACAATCTGTGATGACAAGGCCAGCTCAATCCTTCTGTCAGAAACGAGCTGCTCCCACCAGGTCGGGTCATGAAGAAAAAACATGGAAAACGCATTGAAATGCAACTTCTAGGTCCTACATTCATGTTCTGATGCGTTCTGCTGTCTTCATTTCATTGCACTGCCTTCTTCGAAATGTCTTCTTTTCTTTCGCGAACCTCAACCAAAATTGGCTGCTAAGTGGAGCCCAATTCAGCTACACATCATAGGATTCCATGTTGGGCATTGGCCCCTAGTATGGCTCCTCAACATTCTCTGACTGGCTAGATATAGCACCAATTAAAATATAAACATTTATCGACGAAAACGAGGTGATGGAGCTAGCGATCTGCATCAGTCTCCTCAGCAATCTCGACTTGTGGTTGGGGCATGTTGGGGTTTACTGTGCTGTGGAAGGGATGAAAAACATCGACGCAAAACCGAGCCGGGATGCAACCCAGCCTTTGCCGCGACCCTTTCCTTTGCGCTTTCCCATGGCTAATCACAGGATGTTCATCTTCAAGCTTGGGATAGAAGCTGGTGTCTGGCAGCTGGCAGCACTCTCTGTCAACGAGCTTGAATAGTCCAAACATGTCCAAATGAACATCAAGCCTTGCAAAGATAAGTATCACATAGGTTGGAGGCCATCGCTATTAGGTTGGAGGCCACCGCTCTTAGGTTGGAGGCTGTCGCTATTAGGGTGGAGGCCATGGCTCTAAATTGCAAAACTCCGATGTTGGCCACTTAAGTCTAAACTACCAGGACTACCAGGGTTTCAGGTTCTTGAACTCCCCTACATGTGCAAGATCTTTACTTACTGTGTATATAATCTGGCAGGGACTGGCAAATACAATCAGTCTTCCAAGCGACAGCTTCCTGTGCAATCACATGACAGATTCTCACTTCGAGTCATTGCATACTACCCTGAAGGCGTTGCCATGGTGACAAATTTGGATGTCCTTTTTCCTTCAAATGCACTTAGTGTTGCATTCCCTGAAGATCTGTGGCAAGAATCACGAGCTCGCACTCGTGAGACAGATCCAAGCAAGCCATGTGGAGTTCAAGGAGGTGTGAGGGTGTCTTTTTGGCACAGCGTCATCAACGATTCTCTCCACAAAGCAGTCAGATCCCATTCAAAGCTGCACGTGTCGGTCTACTTCACAAGGACAATATCCTTGTGAGACGCTTTGCATCGTGTTGAAGACCTTAGTCGAGCCTTTTTCCCTAGCTGTACAACTTCAAACACACCTACAAAATACATCAAAATACGGTGTTGCTTTGGCAATCCCACATTCCTCCAAACAGTTTTTATGTGCTGGTGTCCCAAGCCACGATGTCCGACTTGCAGCAAGCCACGATCGTCAGTCAAATCGATAACATCCCCTGCCCAACTTGCAAGAATTACGTTCATTTGTCTGCAACGAATGGCGTAGAGTTGTGTAACATCCCTAGTGGCGTTGGGTTAAATCCTTTTTGATATTTTTAGTGTCTTTTTTGGGGATATCAACCATTGGTTTTGACCCACGCCTGCAATTGAGCAAACATGCCACAAGGGCTGCTCATTCAACTTGCACAGTTGGCATGGGCTTGTGGCTGGTCAAAGAGAGCAGGGCAACTTTCGATTTAGCGTCGAGGCATTTGCTTTTGCTGTTGGAAGATCGAACCATAGCTGCACTGCTACCCTCACGTTGGACACGCCACGCATTAGCGCCTATGCCTAAGCATAGGCATCATCAATAGTTGAATCTGCAAAATACCACAGGCCCAAGCGCTTTTCCGACAGTAGTTGCGAATTGCTTCAACCATGATACGGAACACGCGGCAAACATTGAAGGGATTGTGGGCCCATGATGTAAAAAAGATCTTCGCCGTCTACTTCGCAGTGGAATGAACGAGAAAGGCCACTGAGCCATCCGAGAAGTAGCCTGAAGAACATCGCAAACTTGTGGATACAATACAAATCAGCTGCCACAATCACTTAGGCTACCTGGTTTGGCTACGTGCAATTCCCTACCTGCTTAGATTAGACATTGCAAGTGACTAAAGCTACCTCGGTTTCCCCGTCGATCCACTGTAACAAGGAGATGAAAACAGCAACCCACTGTCACCCGCGATGAGGGCAGCGGAACCAGGGGTTGGTGCACTCACTCTCCTTCGGATGCGTAGCCCCGAAGAGCCAGCATCGTGAAAGCGATCTAACAGATCGGAACAGCCGGCATCACCTTTGGACGTTGCTGGCTTCTGATGGCTCCCCGAAGCTTCCGAATCTCAACTCGTGTGCCCTGTAGGGTGGCTCTTGCTTCTCCGTTGTTACTTCCATGCTAGTTTATTCAGGGACCCACCACACCAGCGAAAATGGAGCAAATTACAATCAAAGCTAGCTAACGCTGAAACATCTCTCCACGGAGAAATCGCTAGGTCATGATGTGATTATCGTCCGAAAGGCAAAGCCTAAGCCCAAGCACCTGCTCTAACGGATAGGTGCGAAGGATCCTCAGTCACTAGCCTCAGCACTGGGCGGTGCATCTCTTCAGGGTGTCCAACCTTGAAGGTTCACATCGCTTTGATCTGCCTGCTCAGCGGTCAGCACACTTCAACGCAGTGTCAGCTCTAAGCCAGAGTGCTACTTATCTTGATGTGACTTGTCCACTTCTCAAGAAGTCATCTATACAAGGTAAGTTTCCAAAAAATCGAGTGCACGTTTAATTTGTTTTTTTGTTTTCGGGATTGTTTTCAAAAACATTGGAATAGAGCAGGTTTCTTATTAGTACCTAGCTAATTACAGCAATTTCATGTCCTTAGCCGAGACACAGGTGTCGTAGCTGGCCAAATACATTGGAATAGTGCAGGTTTCATATTAATTGCTAGCTGATTAGACTAATTTGGGAGCTGTCGTAGCTGGCAAAATAGATTGGAATAGTGTAGGTGTCAGAGAAAGTCCTACGTTAGCAGAGAAACAGTAAAGAGAAAGAGAACCAGCACAGGAGGCATATATGATTGGTTAGAACGGTTAGATTTATGCCCTGGGGAGTTCACCTTAAAATATTGATTTCGTGGCAGGCGCGGGTGTCGGAGATGAAGTGCAGATTTCGTGGCGCGGGTGGGGGGGTTGTGGGGGTGGCGCAGCGCCCAGAAAGCAAACAGATGGAAAAGCAAAAACCAAAAGAGAAAGGAGAACAGCTGCCAAAGCAGAAAAGCAACAAAAGCAAAGAGCAGAAAGACAAAAACACAAAACGCAGAAAAGCAACAGAAGCAGAAAAGCAGCAAAAGCAGAAAAGCAAACAAACGCAGCAGAAGCAGAAAAGCAAAAGCAGAAAAGCAACAAAAGCAAAAAAGCAGCAGAAGCAGAAACGCAGCAAATGCAGAATCCGAAAAAACAGAATCCTTAAAACAATGAAAAAAACGGAAAAAACGCCCCTCCAAAAAAAACTAGGAACATCTAGGAACCAAGTCATTAAGATCATTAAGGCTCAAGACATGAAGCCTGAACCCTTCTGCATCCCTAGCTGGTGGCTTCATCGTTACCACTACAAGTAGCATCCACTAGCTACTGAAGCTTACTAAAGCGGCGTACCTCCCCCCGGCAAAAAGTTTAACTACTTGTTTCTAATAGCTTCTTGTTACTACTAGTAAGGCACTTGTTAC